GCCATCAAACAAAAATATTCTGCATAAAAGTTTTCATTTGTTCTGAAGGCATTTATCAAAAGAGAATAATTTTAAACAATTTGTCCCTTTCAAAAATTTGTATAGCGTTATTAGAAGACGGAGATTATCTGAAAAGCAATGTGATGTGATGTATTTGCGCTAAACATTTCGAACAATCGGATCCCTCAAGTCAATTAATATGAAAAAATTAAATTAAACAAAGTGACATAAAAAGATTTAAGAATGATTAACGTTGCTCACTAGATAGTCTTAACTCTGTACAGAATCATATTAGTCTTACATGGGAGGAAGAAAGTCGCAACCAGCTTGCATTTTCAGACATACATCTGAGTCAAAGAGATGATGGTTCAGTAAGACGATCGATCAAACTACAGGAAGCCCACTTGGACAGGGCAATACCTTAATTTTCACAGTTTCTGTCCATTACAGTATAAGAGAGGCTTAGTGAAATGTCTATTTAAGAGGATTCAACGTATTTGTACGGCTGATGTCATAGACAAAGAAAACGAAAAATTGATGGATACTGTTGTTGAAAATGGATATCCTTTAAAATCTTTAAACAGGTGTAGAAGTCAATTAGTCAATAAACCTACAATCTATTCCGTCGCTAAGAAAGATGCATGATTTTGAATTATATGTGTTCTGTGAACTGATTGTTAATTTAATTGCGAAGCTTTCGTCGTCTCCCTTCGAAACGACATCACTTCAGCACAGGTTTCAGTATGAAATCAACTCATTTGAAGTTGCCATGATTGAAGACAAAATCGCATCACCTGACAATCATCGTCGTGACTGGTTGTTCATATACTTCCCCATTGATCATTTTGATTCACTCAGAATTAGAACTCAATTGTCATGCGACTCACTTTGTATTATAAGCCTAGTAAATTTGATCACTATAGTAATGGGTGTTTGTTAATCACCGGCTGATTCACTCGAGTACCAGGCTTCTAGAAACACAATGGCTGTGTGTTTAGTGTTCCCACTGCGATTACAATTTCCACATTATCCCAGTCAAATTGGTGTCTGCATGCAATTATCCATAAGCATTGATATGAAGGAATATATGTAGTGCTTTTTCACGGGTAACTTGTCTTCTTGGATTCTTAGTTGAAGGAGATGCCCACTTTGACTGATGTGATGTTAATTGCAGTTGATTATTATAATTATTGTTCCCTTGGGTTCCTAGTGGAACATAGAGCTTCAACTACACGTCTCCACTTCCTTCTGTCTTCTACTGTACTTTTCACCTGCATCCATGTTAATCCATACTGTCTCAACTCCTCTTCACACGATCTCCTCCATGTCACCCTTCGACGTCCCACTCGCCGCTTCCCTTTCGGGTTACACTCGAGCACTGGCCTGACGCGCGATGTCACCCAGCCGCCTCCTCAGCTCAGCGAGTGTCCAATCCATCTCCACTTTCTCCTGCATATTTGTTGAGCGATTGGTTCTTGTTTTGTTTCTTCCCATAGTTTCTTGTTGGTTCTTGTTCTTTCCGGCCATCTGATCTTGAGTATAGAGCCAGCGAAGACAGCTGTTGATAAAGGTCTGCAACAGGCTGTTGGAAATATTCTTTGTGACACACTGGCCAAGTTTCTGATCCGTCCGTATAGAAGAACTGACTGACTTGACGTTTGTATTGAAAATCTGAATCACTTTGTTGTTGATGCAGGCTGTGTGACAGCGGAGGATTTCCAGATTGGTTTCAGGTTGATGAATGTGTTTCTCGCCTTCCCGATTCTCGATTTGACATCTTCGTCCGTTCCTCGTGTAGTTGAGACAATGCTCGCTAGTTTTCTAGCCGGTCCCAAGCCCGGATAAAGAGGGAGGGTTGAGGCGTGGTGCTAGCAACTCCACTTCCAAAACCTAACCAAATCGCTACAGAAACTTCAACGCATAAATATATAAAAAATACTAAAATTATAAACAATAACCTTATTTTTTGCTGGAATCGGGGAAGTGAAATGACACAAACTGGTGAAAATCTTTGGGAAGCCAGTAAGCCAATGTGCCTTCTTTCGATGAAAGCGAAAATAAGGATGGGGATGTGGGATGTTCGTACAATGTACGAAGCTGGAAAGGCTGCCCAGGTAGCCGCAGAAATTAGGAGATATGGAATAGAAGTGTTGGGAATCTGTGAGAGTAGATGGAATGGATGTGGAAAGTACCAACTATCAACTGGAGAGACAGTAATCTATTCCGATCACCCAGAGGACAGCCACGAGCACATCAAGGGAGTGGCCATCATGATGTCACCAACAGCAACCGAAGCTCTCATGCAGTAATTTTGATTATTTTCTTCTTCTTCTGTTGGATCTTTTGTATTTCGCAATGTCAAGTGAAGTGATTGTGTTGGCTGGCTGACTGGCTTGTGTTCTATATCTGTCTTGAACGGTCTTAATATTCTTGCTGTTATTTCAGAGATATTCTTCATGTATATGGTAGAGTGAATTATCTTGTGGTCTTTGATGATGGTTTCTCGTTGGTATAATTGCTTGAGGTTAAACAACTTTTGATGAAATTGTGAAGGTATACATCCCTTTGGAATAGAGTTACTAGGTATTTCTCTTACATTCTCTTCACCACTGAAGTGATAAAGTGTGTTTCGACTTAGTTTTGAACATTTTCCGCATATACTTTCTTATGTGAATAATTGGATTATTGCTATTACAGTTGAGTATTTTTACTTTGTGTGAATTGATTTTCTGTATGCTTGTGTTTTTGAAAGTGATTGTAAATGTGATAACACCAACAAGGAACCATCCTCAAAGACCAAAAGACAACTCATTCCACCATTTATGTGAAGAATATCTCTGAAACAACAGCAAGAATATTAAAACCAATCAAAATAGATATAGAAAACAAGCCAGTCAGCCAGCCAGCCAACCAACACAATCACACTTCACTCGATATTGTGCAGACTGAAAAATCCAACAGGAGAAGAAGAAGTCAAAGTGGACATCCCCTTCAACTAAGAATCCAAGAAGACAAGTTACCCGTGAAAAAGCACTACATCTATTCCTTCATATCAATGCTTATGGATAATTGCATGCAGACACCAATTTGACTGGGATAATGTGGAAATTGTAATCGCAGTGGGAACACTAAACACACAGCCATTGTGTTTCTAGAAGCCTGGTACTCGAGTGAATCAGCCGGTGATTAACAAACACCCATTACTATAGTGACCAAATTTACTAGGCTTATAATACAAAGTGAGTCGCATGACAATTGAGTTCTAATTCTGAGTGAATCAAAATGATCAATGGGGAAGTATATGAACAACCAGTCACGACGATGATCGTCAGGTGATTCAATTATATCATCAATCATGGCAACTTCAAATGAGTTGATTTCATACTGAAACCTGCGATGAAGGGATGCTGTTTAGAAGCGAGATGACGAAAGCTTCGTAGTTAAATTACCAACCATTTCCTCACAGAACACGACTAATTCAATAAATACTATATATATTTATGACAAATACTTGCATGATTCGAATGTTCGAATTATCGTTTTCAAATACAGTACAGGTTTCATATCAATTATATCTTATAGTTTTGTCGGAATATTTTAAAAGTGAACTAAAGATACTTGTAGAATGGTTGCCCTTCAAATATCCTCGATATATCTGATAAAATGGCTTACTAGGAACACTTTTGGACATGAATAATGTTAAGCTAGTAATATCCCTCGGTAGTAGTACTATAGAATCTTTTCATCATATGACCTTGACCTTGGCGGCCTGTTCGAATTTTTGGGCCTGCTTTTATAATATCTACATATTGCATCCATATACTGTTTACTCCTATTTATTTATCACCTAAATATGAATTCTAATAGGATCATTTACTTTCGCAACTTCATTAATCATTTACGACCCAATGACTTTCCTATTCCCAAGAAATCAAGGAAGAAGCATCGTAGTGGTTGGCAGAGAACTCTTAAGCGTACACCAATAACCTAACTACGGTCCCTGTCATAATGAACACTGACTGCCGCTCTCTTCCTAACAAGATAACAATCTTTGATGTCCACTGACACTTATCATAATACTGCGATAATCACATTACAAGAAACATGGTTACATGAACTGTATGATGACAATCTCATCTCACTAAAGGACTTTATCCTATTTAGACAAGACCGACAATGTCGTAATAAGAAAAATGGGGGCGGCCTGGCAACTTTTATTCACTCCAAATGGTCTATTTCTAATAATCTCTGCTTCTCATTCTCAAATGACTTCATAGACTGTATTACCGTCAAATGTCGTTCCAAACATCTCCCCAAATATAAACATATCTTTGTTACTAACATGTACATTTCTCCAAGTTGCTCACTATCTAATCTTTCAAATTTTGCTGACGAATTCACCATGTTTGCCGCTGCCAACTGCGACAACTCTCTATCTGTTATTACTGGGGACTTCAACTCGTCAGACTGCTCTTTCCTTGAAGCACTTGGTCACACAAACATAGTCAAATTATTATTATTATTATGGTAACAGAATATAGAGATAGATTTTTATTAGGTCAATTAAACTTATTCTATAGTCATTCTAGCTGTCAAAATTTAAGTATTGTTATCAGAAATCTGTATATTTCTCTCTACTGAAACTTATGTCATACGATGCACCCACGCCCTTTTTCTTAAAAAAAGTAAAAATGTTACATTGACACGGTGTAGAAAATTGACCAGGTCTATGCAGCATATAAAAGCCTCTATTTGTTAAGTTATTTTTCAATTGATTCTTTGTACATTTGTTGGTTGAATTGATGAATGATTTTCTAGAACAGTGCAGTGGTAAGTTGCACAAACACGCACGCATGCACGCACGCGGCACACATACACACAAATACAGTGTCTTTTAAAACACCCACAATCTCTTTTCCTACAAAAGTGCGTGGGTGTTTTGGTAATTCTGCAACAAATTCATAGGTCTACTAACTTGGGCATCAATAGTAACAACCAATCTCTTTTCATGAAATCTACTGAAAGAAAATGAAGATAAAAATAACGAGAAATTTGTATCGTAGACAACTTTAGCTATTTCAGTATTCTGAGGACATAGCTTGTATCACATTACCTTTCTGGTGTTTTCGACTGTTTTGCCAACAGTTGGTATAGTTTTTTGCCAACTATAAAGTTTGGTGTGACTGCATATGGCTTCACCAGAAGTCGGTATGGCTTATCACCTACCACAGCAAATAAGTCCTCATGGCGGCAGTGTAGCTACATCAACTAAAGTTGTCAATCTTTCGAGAGCTCAAGTCAATCTTACACAACCAGGACAATCTGGATATGCTTCTCCGGTATCACCACAGAATGCACAAATGAACGCTTACAATTATTCAACGCAACAAGGTCAACCTCCATCATCCTATGCATATCCAGTGGGAAATGATCAGGCAAGTGACAATTTTAATCGAACAGGTTTTCAAAACTATGCGCAACCACAAGTTTTTACCGTTGGTTCAAGTCAACCAGCACAAATTCAGCAGACACAACAACGTCCACAATTTCAGCAACAGGGTTGGAATCAACCTCAACAAACACAACAGTATAAGGTTCTTACAACTCCACTACAAACTACAAACATGGGACAAGCTTATGTTCCGCCTGTTGGTCAGATTAACGCTCAACCAACGTATGCTGCTCAGCCGAATGCTGTTTATTATGGCCAGTCAACGCAAAATCAACATCAAACACCACAACCACAGCAACCGTATCAACAGCAGTCACCACAACAACAACAACAACAGCCGCAAGGTCAGGTCATATATGCACGATCCGCCAGTCAGTCATACGCTCCTTCAGGAAATACATATCCAACTCAAGCACAATATACACCACAAACGGGCACAGGTGCAGTAACCTACCAACCAGCCAATCAGATGGCTTCAACAATTCAACCAATCACAATTCAGCCCAGTCATCAAGTGAACCAAACAAGTCAACAGAATTTCAATCAAGCGCCTAGATTTCAACACGTGCCAAATAATACTGTATCACCTACAAACCCTCCATCTTTTCAAGCACAAAATCAACAAGTATATTATCAGAATCAACAAAAACAGCAACCTCAACCACAAGTTTATTCTTCACAAACGAATTATAATCAAGCTGACAACAGACCAACACAAGTGGTACAATCTACTTGGAGTGCACAACCAAATAGTCAAGTGGTTGATAACAGACAAAATCAACAACAGTACCAACAGTATCAGCAGCAGCAACAATACCAACAACAACCACAACCAGTTCAAAACAGTCAGCCATATTCACAAAACTCACTGCCACCTGCAAGTGCTAATCAAGGAGTCGATCAACAACAAGTTCGTAGACGTATTCCTTCTGGAGGGGTTCAATCAAAACCTATCAAAGTGAAATCACTGGTAAGTAGTCGTTATTATTTGTAAATAAGGTTACAGTTTGATATAAATGTAATTTATGACAAATGAATAATATAAATAAGCCTCAGTAGCAAAGGTATCTTCACATTTTTTTCAAATGTTTATCTATTGCCTGTCTATATTCAATGTAGGTAATAACTGTGCATACGAACAGACAGTTTAAATGCTGGTTAGATATTAGTTGGAGGATTTCATCATGAGCTGACATCAGTTAGAGAACCACTGGAAAACCGGAAAACTGGAGTACTGGACAGCTGTTTCTCCTGTCCTATTTTGGGACTCTGCTTCACCAGTACGCACCCACCACAGGGAGTTCGAAGCCAGGACCTTCTGGTTACAACGTCAGTGAGCTCGTAGACCATTAAGCCACTGGGACCCGATATTAGTTTCATTAAATAGCTTTTAGTTTAAAAGTATAGGTTGTAAAAATGTTTAAACGCTTACTACGAAAGAAATTTTATTACAGACCACAATGGAAATTACTTGTACGTTTTGAAAAGTTTTCCTTAATGAATTCGCTAACAAATTAAACGCTTTTTTGAGATTATTTGAAACAATTACAAGTAGCTATACACATAAAAAATAATTCTAACAATGTTAGGAAAGGTAGGTATCATCCATTCTTAAGAGATCTTACACAAACCTTAATGACTGTTGTGGTGTGGATAGACTAACCTTTTCAAATTGTATTTTAGCATGGTAGATCACTCAGCTGATGGCTTGAATTTTCTTTTGTAATGTTCTAGCTTTAATATTTAACTCCATTTATAGCCCAAATATTATGGAGTATTTACAAAAGAATGCAATCTTAAAACAATGGGTCACTTCTGATTGACTATATTCCTTTAAGTCCCCAGTAGAACATAGGGGGCTTCAAGCTAGACGCTTAAAGTTTCGGTATCAGTGGTGTTTATTTTTGCGAGGTTGTGAGGTTGCTAGCCTTATGCCCAACCTTCCTTCTTTACAAGTCGTATTACTGGTTTAGTGAGGTAAAAGAGTGCGTTGGTGGCCGGGGATCGAACCCTGCCTGGATCACCTGAGTGGTTGGTGAGCATTCTACCGCTGTGCTGCCAACGCACACACTGATTGACTGTAGTAATTCAAAAACATCTGCATCCGGAAGTGTTTTAAGCCTGGATTATGTTGACTAGTAAACAAGTAGCAAATACATAACCTTGATGGTCTTATATACTCATTCTTTATTAGGTGTTTAAAATTAGCTATACAGAAATTTAATATGTATATAAGGTAAATTTACGAAATCGTATTAGTTTAAACCTATATTTGTATAAACCGCTTCTTGGCCGGAAGGTCATGGGTTCGAACTCCATTGATGGTTACATACTGCCAAAGAATCCTAAATTAAGACGAAACAGATGTCCAGTACTCCAGTGCTGGTTTACCAATAGTTCTCTAAACGATGTTAGCTTAATAATAATAATCTACTTTATTCCAAAACAAACAGTACTTATAATACAGAATGGAATTCTCAGCATTTGTCACAATATTGCATCTGATTTACTCAAAATATATATAAAATTAAAAAATTAAAACAAAATTAGTCGGAGGAATTTGTCCACATTTACGACATTATTATTAGATATAATAATAATAACAGTGGTTTTCAAAGTATTGATATTGAATTAAAGTTATAGATTATTAAATCTAATGTTCTTTTGATATAGTATAGTGAGGGGAAACACAAAATTAACAGTTATAACACAGCTTAAATGATGTTCACACTTATGAAAAAATTAACAAATAAAAAACAAAAAATTGAGAGGATTATAAATATAAGAAGTACAATAACAATAAAGTTTGATGTTGTAAGGTGGGAAATGGTTATTTAGTAGTGCAAAGAAGGTTAGTTAGTTCATGCCTAACACTATTTTCATCACATAAAGTACGTGCCAAATATGGTACAGTGGGATTTTTATACTTAGACTTACGTGCATAAAGTCTTCTGAAAAGACTTCTTGTTTTACCTGAGGACATGAGACAAGGTTGCAGCTGCGGGTAAAGTGTATGCTTACAGTCTGACAAAATTCCTTTAGCGAATTTGTTGCATGAGATCAAGTGTCTATCAATGACACTGTCAACGATATGGCCCAATGGGATAGTATACCACTCACCCTACTGACAGTCTTCAGAGTTCTACGAAGTATGACATAGTCTTTTTTAAGCAATCCAGGAAAGAATAAGGGGTGAACAGAGAAGAAGAATAGGTAAGATGTACGAGTTGGCAAACTGTAAGAGGAGCGGTTGGTTGGGTTATGCCTTAACATATTAATGTAAAAAGTCAGACGAAATATTCTTTTAGAAATCGCTAAGACATGGGAAGACCAGGATAGGTCAGAAGAAAGGATTAATCTAAGATACTTAACTTCAGACTTGGTTTCTATATCAGTATCATCGATTTTTCAAAGGTCATAGGAACCAACGGCTTCATTTAACTTTCGTTTACATCGGAAACTGAAATTAACAGTCTGACATTTTAAGGATTAAGTTTAAGGCCTTTTGACGAAGACCATTTGCTAATTCCTGATAGAAAGCTGTTCATCTTAGTGCAGTCAAGCTGGAAGTTAACAGACATTGAAATAGTTAGATCGTCGGTATACTTAACAAAGTTCATTTCATCATCAGAGTGAGGCAAGTCATGCAAGAAGAAAGAAAACAGAAAAGGAGAAAGGACAGCGCCTGTAGCCAATCAAATCAAATCACTGCAAACCAATACTTGGATATATATATATATTTCGATTAATAATACAGAAATCGAAAGATTGTAAGTAGGTGGAAGGAGTGAAAAGATTAAATTTAACTATCAATTACGTGAGGATTTCACTGATTCTGAGATGAACTTCATCACAAACAAGATTTCGGCTGAAAAAATAAATGTGCAAGACGAAAGATAGATGAATAACTGGTTTGTTTTATTTGGAAGACACTAGTTATGTGAAAGCAAAGTACTAAGAGACTATATCCGGGATTCAATCAAAGTCTTAGAACTGTTAATTTTTCTGCAGATGTGCCACCGTTGTCTTTTTTTCGCTCTTTGCATTCAAAGAGAAATTTAGGGCTTCAGGGTTTGAAGTTTGCAGTAATGGTGGTGTTTGTTTTTACGCTATGGAGTTGTTAGCCTCACGCCCAACCTATCCTGTTTTCAGGGATTACTTCCAGCTAGCAGACTAGGAAAGGTCTAGGAGTGCATCTTTCAGGAATTGAACCTAGACCTCCTGTGGCGTGACTAGCGAGCTTTCCATCAATGAACTATCGACAAGACCTCCAACTTTCTGACTGCATACAACGTAGAAACTAATTTTTCTTCAAGTTGTTCATACTCTTAGACGTAGAAGACGATAGCCAAGATTTACAAGATATTTTCGTTGAGTTGAAGTTGTAATCTAGACAATCATATCACTGGAACTGGATAATTTTGAAGTTAAGCTCTATTGTTTTTCCAATTTCCTATCTTTGACAGGGTCTTTATTCATATTAAAAGTTTATTACTCAAAAGCGTTAAACCATCTGTCTAGTTGTACATGTTACCAAGCGTTGATTTGTGGAGATATGGTTTGATTGGTTACAGGACTTCATCATGAACTGACATCGGATAGAGAACCATTCAGAAACCTTAGGAGTACTGGACAGCTAGCCATTTTTTTTACCCTAGTTTGAAACTCTTTGGCAATACGCACCCACCTGGGTTTGAACCTCATTGGGTTATTACATTTAATTTGGATGTTACATTAAGAATTTCAAAATGCCATAATACTCTTACCCTATGACTCACTTCATGGTTTGTTGCATAAAACGTTTTACACAACACGCAACACATACAGGAGGCCATTTGATGCAATGTAGATAGAAAAAACTAAATTCAGTAGAAATGCCTTGCAGATAATCATTTCTTAGAAGTGTACAAGGATAAATGTAGTCCATGAAAATGAAATTTACTTCACAGAATAATGAATTTACTTGAAGAATACTTGAAATGAAGCGTAAATTGAGTAGGAGTCAATAAACCGATCGACTGACACATCATTATAATATTATTATTGTTCCCTTGTGTTCCTAGTGGAGCATAGGGCTCCAAATGCACGTCTCAAATTGCTTCTGTCTTCTGCTGTACTTTTCACCTGCATCCATGTTAGTCCATACTGTCTCAACTCCTCTTCACACGATCTCCTTCATATCACCCTCGGACGTCCCACTCGCCGCTTCCCTTTCAGGTTCCACTCGAGCTATGGCCTGACACGCAATGTCACCCAACGGCCTCCTCAACGAGTGTCCAATCCATCTCCACTTTCTCCTGCATATTTGTTGCTTGGCGATTGGTTCTTGTTTTGTTTGTTCCCATAGTTTCTTGTTGGTGATTCTTTCCGGCCATCTAATCTTCAGTATAGAGCCAGCGAAGACAGTTGTTGATAAATGTCTGCAACAGGCTGTTGGAAATATTCTTTGTGACCCGCTGCCAAGTTTCTCATCCGTATAGTAGAACTGACTGACTTGACGTTTGTATTGAAAATCCGAATTTTGTTGTTGATGCAGGCTGAGTGAGTCACGAAGATTTCCAGATTGGTTTCAGGTTGATGAATGTGTTTATCGCTTTCCTGATTCTCAATTTGACATCCTCGTCCGTTCGACTGGCACATAGTTAAATTATTTTGGAAAGGCTTTAACTTCAACTCAAACTTTTCTACAAAGATATTTCACAAAATTTACAATAATAGTTGAATGAAGACCATCGTGATGGGTTATTCTAGAACAAAGTTAATGAGAGTATGGCATAATATCATACTATAAGGATTATTTGGTTAGTTGTGAACTAGTTAGTATACACTGTGAAGGTGTGAGGTGTACGCTGCTCCTTCCAAATCATCTCGTAATCTGACGCATCATATTGCCTCGAGCAGGTGAAGCACCGGGGATAATCACGAAATAAACCTATTAATTCATAAGGAAAAACACAGTTATTGTTCGGC